TCCATTTTGAATGGGAAATTGATGTTATATTTTGAGAAATTATTGATGCTTATAACTGTGTGATACCCCTCGAATCCGAGACATGGGTTGATCAGGCCCAAGCCCAAACCCGAGGGAATATCAAACAATTAATATTTAAAAACGAACACGGAATACAAAATTGAACTAAGAAATAAAAATTAAAGCTGAAAATAATTCTAATTATAAAATCCACAAAAGTTATAATTAATATAATCCAAATCTCCATAATAATAACAACTCGGGTATCCATCCTGTGGACCCCTATTAAAATCCCAAACTGAAGCTGAAACAACTGAAATAAAATCTAAAGCTAAACATAAAAAGTAATCCTACGTAGTCGAAGGAATGAGTGTCTGTATCTACTCTGCACGACCAAGCTCTAACCCTGGAACTGACGAGCACCTGAAGAATAAGAGAGTGGGTCAGGCCCACATGCAAGTCCTATTCTACTACGATCCATACAGAAACCCGATACGCAGATACATCCTAAATAACTCAACAATATCTAGAGTAGTCCATATATGTATAAGTACACACTATAGGACGCTCACTAGTCCAATAGGTCTGTCTCAGCCTAAGTAGAGATACCATGCAAATCGCATATAATGTGGTCATGTGTATCTAGACCTACCAGGGAACAACACCTATGTCCAGTTCTTCATCCTAGGCGATATACGCACCCTAACCATGGTCCTGAGACTCAAGCTCATACTATGGCACTATAACATAAAATATATAAAGTCTGTATACTCCTAATACAAAATATCATCCATCTGGTATAGTGGCCTGATATATGTATAACAATCCATCCAGAAACCAAAGTAGGTCATTCAATTATTTTATTGACATGACACAAATATGAGTAGGACTTAACTTATGGTTAATCCATACCTCAATCCAGAATAGGTAGGACTTAGTATTTGAACTAATCCGTCCCTAGTATGCTACCATCCCATAGCGGTGCATACAATCCTCTACATAACATAATTGATAAACAGTAATAGGTATTCATCAACCATTCTCCAAGATATGCATAAATAAAGTGTAATACATATATGATGATATTAGGCATTCATTCAGACCTAAAAATCATGTTCCAACTATATAAATTGCTAAAATAAGTCATAGCATTTAAATCCTCCAAATAACCCATAAGTTGATACAATTAACAGCAAATAAATACCAATTTATTCCAAACCAAGCATAGTTGTTTGCAAGTAATTTACCATACTTACAACTCTATTTAGATATAATTAAATCATATTAAATTATATACAAAAGAAGCTCCAAGTTCCAGCAAGAAATTTAATTAACCACAACAGTGTGCAGCCTATAAGTTTTCCCCCAAATTCATCTTGTTCCATTCCTTAGTCTATTTATAAATTAATGCTTCCCTATACTTTTACAGGTCCATAACAATTAATTACATCATTTAATACAATTTAAACTGAGTGAAAATACCCTGCACAGTCCAAACAGTGCCTAAAAACCAACCATACGCAAATTTGGGCGAGAGCAGGCTCTCTCAAATTGAGAGCCTGCTCCTTTGGCATGGGAGCCGGCTCCCTAACACTGGGAGCCTGCTCTTAGCAGCTAGGAGCTGGCTCCCCGACCCCTTGGAGCTGGCTCCCTCCTTTTGGGAGCCCTCTCTCTCACTCTCTGAAGCCTTTTTGCGATTTCTGCTTCGTCTTCCTCGCCTCCCGCGATACCCAGGCCCCTGTAATTCTTTTAAATACTTGTTCTAATGTTTAATCAATGTCCTAGAATAGTTATAAAGCATCGACATGCATCAACATCATCAATTAAACTAAACTTAAAACTCAAACAAAGCATGCATCAGTTAACAGAACTGTAAGAACTTGCAACCCAGTTTAGTTCAACCAAATTAAATATAGTTTAAACATACATAAACGACTTATTTTAACATTAATTAAACCCCTGGAGTCTACCTAGGCATGCACAGAACATAGGTTTAGGGGAAAGAGTTAGAACAAAACTTGCCTTTAGGTTTCTATTCAAAACCTTAAACCTCCGTCTCTGAGTTTTCCAACCACTTCCTACACTGTCGTTCCACTCCTCTGTTGCTCTTGGTTCAACCCAGAAGCACTGCGTCCCGTCCTCCTTGAACCTCTCTGTTTATCTCTCAAGTTTCACTCACGGTTCCTTTCTGCCTTTCACAACTCTCTGTGCGTGAAACTAAGTTGAAAGCTTAAACCCTAGACAGACCTAATATAAGAATATATATAGGCGTCTCTGAAAACCCTAGTCCACTTAGAATTAGAGATTGAAAACCCTAATTAAACTCTAGTCGACCACAACGTGAAACATAAACCTAATTAATCCTATTAACTTAATTAAATAATTAAACAATTACAACAATTCAATTAAAGACAAATAATAATAAAAGAAAACAATTAATTCAAAAATAACAACAATTAATTCAAATAATTCAAATAAGTCAAATAATAACAATTTATTCAATTAATTCAAACCAACGAGCAATTAAACAATTAAACTAATAAAAATTAAATTAAATAATTAATTAAAATACCAGGACTATCCTTTTAAAATTAGGGGTATTACAAATTGTGGGATGTTGTGCACTGTTTGCCGTGAATTCGGGATTGGTCATGTATCAAGTTTTGTGCAGGGTCGGCTCACACGAGCCCAGTTTCTGGTGTTATTAGCTGCAGATAGTAGCATTTCTAGGCTTGTCAGCCGGCTGACAAGGGATGTCAGCTGACCGACAGTGCACTTTTGGTCATTCCAGAGAGTTGGGTTCTTAAGAGTGTTGTTTCGGCCAACCGATTCAACCCTTCGACTAACTGAACTCCCATCTTCAGCCAGCCGAACTCCATTTTCAGTCGACCGACAACCCATCTTTGAAAAGTCCTGAGAGCATGCATTTTTGGCCATCGCTTCGGCCGGCCGACCAATTTAAGTCAGCGGACCGAACATGCACTTTCAGCCGGCCGACGCAAGGTCACCAGCCGGCTAACTTTGCCTTTGACCCCTTTCTTCTAAGTTATGATTTGGAGTACCTTGGACCTTGAAGTATCCTGTATTCTACGCATTGACCTTGGAAATGATGTTATTGCCCTTAGTTAACCTCGGGTTTGGGTAAGGACCCGGTTAACGGTTCGGACCCTTGGGTTCGGGTCGTTACATACTTAACCATCGCCTCCCCTCATCTCAAGCTTCCTCATCGCTCTTGCCTCCTCTCATTTTCATTCTTCAGTCCTCATTAGTCGATTCAGTCCTCACTCCTCATACTCTCATTTTCTCACCAGTCATTCATCTTCAGTCCTCACTCTTCATCCTCTATTTTGTATCGCAGCTATCACCCACACACCATCTCAGACTTCTCAGTCATCAACATGGTCACATGGCTTCTCCGATTTACACCACACACCATCTCAGTCAATAACACGGCTTTTCCGGTTTCATCATCTTCCTCGGTTAAGCCTATGAAGGTAATTTTTCTTTTTCTTTTTCTTTTTCTTTTTTCTTTTTCTTTTTCCTATTATCTTTTTAATTTTTCATTTTTCCTTTTCCTTATGAAAAAATTGTGAGTGTGTGAATATTTGATTTGTTAGTTCTTTTGTTGCAAACTTTGAAGTTAGCAGCCAACAACATAATGGAGATTCTGTTTTTCAGTTTTTCTAGAAGTGCACTAATTCTATAATTCATTATTAATAATATAGTATTCAGAATTTCAAACTATCAGTATTTGTTTTTGAAAGGTTATTCATATTTCAAATTATTAGTTGATTATTACCATGTGATGGGATGTAATATTATAGAATTTCAGGCTATCAGTTTTATTTTCTGTATTTATTTATATTTTTATTTTTGCTATTATATTCTGTAACTCAGTTTAATTGTTTTAGCTATGGGCTCAAAGCCTTTCAAATAAGTAAGGGAACACAGCTACACAAGGGAACAACAGGAAAAAAGAGCAAACACCAGTGAGAACCATGGAACCAAACCGGTATTCGGTTCCATACCCACACGGTTTTGGTTCCATTTTTAAGGAACCGTTGTGAATCGTTCCCGTTCCCGTTCCTGTCAGAACCGCGCCGAATCGAACCGTGTGCATCCTTAATTTTGATGCTAGTTATGGCCGGTGTAACCAGTGGGCGCTTGTCCATTTACAAAAAAACTTAAGTTGTTGGGTACTGCTGCATACCCACCCATTTATACCCATGTCACTTCCCATCCGGATCCGATGTGGGATAAGTCTCCCCTTGTAACATTCTCCCCCACCCGAACCCGCGCAATGCCCTCGTTGCTGTTGGATCACTCTACCTACTTGAGGTGAAAACTCGGACGCCTCCGAGCTGGGTGCTTGGCATGACACTTGATCAAGAATTGGGTCTATCTCTGATACCAACTGTAACGGGTGGACGCTTGCCCATTTACTCAAAAGCTTAATTTGTTGGGTAATACTGCATACCCACCCATTTATACCCATGTCACTTCCCATCCGGATCTGATGTGGGACAAGTCTCTCCTTGTAACAGCTGGACACTAAGGTAAGGATTATATTATATGATTTTGAAAATAAAATTCATATAATGGGTTTAAACCTCAAAGCAATTACATTTTTTGAAATCTCAAAGAAATTTATTGAAATCCTTAAATAAATTACATTCAATTAGGGCTTGGGTAGGGCTACTGATTACATTCAATTGGGGTAGCAAATTACCTTCAATAAGGGCAGCAGTTTACCTTAAATTAGGGCTTCAAAATCACTTCCACTGCTTCTTAGAATGGAGGAAAGAAAGGTGGCTTGGTGGCTTCTAGGGCTCTTCCTGAAAAGTTTTCACGCATAGAGGAGAGAAGATGAACCGAGAAACGTGCAACTATGTGGGTGTTCTTATTGAAGATGCTTTGGGGCATTTTTGAAATAACAAATAAAAATTGATAGCACATGTTTGTCACATGTTCTTGCAAGGATAGTTTCGTCACTAAAATTTGATTGCCAATGCATGTAAAGACACGCTATGTTAATATCCCAAACTAACATAATTGGGACTTGTTGGAGTTTTTACAAACAAATTGCGATTTTATGATAAAGAAATGATAGTATTGGAGATTTTATGATTTAAACCCTAAAAATAATAATAAACCCACGAAAACATTAAAAAAAAAAAAAAAAAAAAAAAAAAAAAAAAAAGCGCGCGCGCACGCGCACACACACACACAAAACGCATACTTTACCAACAGGAAAAAAAGAAAGGGAAATGAATTCTCTCCATCTATGCCAAACAGGGGAAGAAGACATAGCGCGCCAATTCCAAACCAATCAACCCCATATATATATATATATGCCCTTACTCTCAAAACCATCACAGAAGAAAAACCCAAACAGAGCACCACCACCACCACCACCACCACCACCATGGGAAAACAGAAGCAACAGGTCATTTCCCGCTTCTTCGCTCCCAAACCCCAAAACCCATCAACCTCGCCTTCTTCACCATCAACATCACAATCATTTCCCCCTAACCCACCAACCCCTCCCCCGAAAACCTCAGCCACTGTCACTTTCTCGCCATCCAAACGCCTTAGGACCTCCCAACTCACCTCACCCAGAACCAAACCCTCCAAAATCCCTAAACTCTCTCCACAAACCCACAATCATGTACCCTCCTCACCCAATTCCTCTCTCCTCCCTGATGACCCTCCCCCAAACAAACCTAACAAAAACCCTAAACTCTCCCCCCACACCCACAATCCTATTCCTCCTCTACCCAATCCATCCCTCCACCAAAGATTTTTAAAGAAACTTCTAGAGCCTTCTGAGGACATTCTAGAACCTTCTTCAAATCCTTCAGTTTCAAATCCCAAGTATACTCCTCTGGAGCAACAAGTACTGGACCTAAAAGACAAGTACCCAGATGTTCTTTTGATGGTTGAAGTTGGATACAAGTATCGATTTTTTGGTGATGATGCAGAAAATGCTGCTAGGGTTTTGGGGATTTTTGCCCATATGGATCATAATTTCTTGACTGCTAGTATACCAACCTTTCGATTGAATGTTCATGTTAGGAGGCTTGTGAGTGCTGGGTTTAAGGTGGGGGTTGTGAAACAAACTGAAACCGCAGCAATCAAGGCTCATGGGTCGAATAGGTTGGGGCCATTCTGTAGAGGGCTTTCAGCATTGTACACGAAGGCGACAATGGAGGTGGCTGAGGATGTTGGGGGTGATGAAGAGGGGTGTGGATCGTGTAGCAATTATCTGGTTTGTGTTGTTGAGAAAGGGCTTGTTACTGAAAATATGAAATGTGGGATTGAGAGTGGGTTTGATGTGAAAATTGGGATTGTTGCGGTTGAAATCTCAACCGGGGATGTTGTTCATGGGGAATTCAATGATAATTTCATGAGGGCGGGGCTTGAGGCCGTGATTTTGAGCTTGTCTCCTGCGGAATTACTTCTTGGGGAACCTCTCTCTGCACAAACAGAGAAGGTAGTGTTTACTTGCAATAAAGTTCATTGTCTTACAATTAGTGAGCAAATAATATTTGTTTCTTTCTTGCTGTTATATCTATAAGGCTTCATTACATATAGTTGCATTAAACGACTTCATTTATTATTATTTTTATCTATGGAATTTGTCATTGTACTAATCGAGAATTCTTTGACTAAATAAAGTGGAATTTCCTACCTACCAAAAACAAGGACGGTAATTTTCTTGGCTGTCTGACTCTGATAGATTATGTCTGATTTTAACTAAAGACATAAGAAGCATAACCATCTTGCTTTAGGGAAGTCGGGGAGAGAGCTACCAAGTGAAGTGAACAAGAACCAAAAGTTTTGCTAGAACCACAAAGCTCCTTAATGGGTACCGTGCCATTTAAATTAATCATTCTCATCTAGTTCAAACAATGATCAAAAGCAAGCTGAGTGGTGGTTTTCATTTGGCTGTTAGCTACTTAATGAATTTCCTTTCTTTTAGCTTGGTTAGGCTTGTGGGTATGTGAGACAGTAGGAAATGCATATGGACTTTTCAGGATCTGTTCATATTTGGTGGTTCTAACAATCTCTGAAAAAGGAAATATATTTTTCTATGTTTGACTTGTTAAATGACATTGTTACTTATACATCAAAATTGTTTGGTGGCTTTATTATCCAAATATTTATTATATGGGTGAGACATTCTTTTCGCTTAAGTCATCGTTGTAATCTCATTCAGGATGCTTTAGTATTATTAGAATGGACTACCTGAAACCGTTATCCATTTTTTTTTCTCTCGCTGAATCTTACCAGATGAGAAAAAAAATATTTCTTTTAAAGAAAAGATAAGCCATAGATTTGTCACAATTTTAGGGAAAGAAAAAAAAAAACTTCATACAGCATTATATATTAAAGCTAGACTTGTTATCACCTTCAAATATAGATTATGTAAATATTGAATGGTTTATACTAATTAATGGTTTGAAATTTGGTAATAGATGTTGTTTTGTCATTTGTTGTTCTACGTCAATTATTCTTTTATGCTGAGTTCTCAAATTTGTGAATTTTATTTTAAGACTGCGTATTTGGAACAAAGTCATCATTCCTATTAATGCTTGAAAAAGAATGAAAATAAACATATGCTTTATAACTAATGTAAGGAAGTCATAAGTACCTGAAATTAAAAAAAGAAAATAAAGAGAAAGAAAAGAAATAAAGAAGCCATGATTATAATAAATGGACAAATTTTGAAATGAATAAATTAGCAGAGGTTAGAAGAAGAAGAAAAATATTATTTTTGTTATTCTTAAGGAAATAGTGACAACAGAATGAATATTTTCTAAGAGGATTATTTAGGAAGAGAATGATCGAGATGGAATCAGATGTTGCATTCTCCAGTATTCTGGTAATTAATTGTAATTTTTCTTTATTGGTGACATACATGTGATGTATATATGTCTGTTCACACAAATACAGAGTATGCTTCTTTAAACTTATCAATTATTATTATTATTATTTTTGATAAGTCTTTAAACTTATCAATTATTATTTAACCATTGATAAAGAGGTGGATCGTAGTTTATTAGTAGGGAAGGGAGATGATATACTTACCAACAGAAAAGAAAGGAGATGAATTCTCTCGCATCTATGCTAAGTGAAGAAGAAAAAAAGAAGAAGAGAAACTTAGCATGCCAATTCCAAAGCAATTATCGCTGTGTATAACTGCCTTCACTTCTAAATCATCACAGAAGAAAGCTAAAACAGAGACCACCACCATGGGAAGGAAAAATCAAGAGGCCATTTCTAGCTTCTTCGCTCCCAAACCTAAAAGTCATTTGACTTAACCTCCTTCACCATCATCCTCACAATATTTTCTCCCAAACCCACCAACACGTCTGCCGAAAATCTCAGCCACAGTTATTTTCTCATCATCCAAACACTTATGAAACCTCCCAACTCACCTTACCAAACCCTCTAAAATCCCTAACCACATGCCAAATCCACGATTATGTACCCTCCCCTTCCAGTTCTTCTTTTTTCTCTCCACTGACCTTGTAAATCCTCCCCTAACAAATCCATCAACCACCCTATGGTCATGTTAGGAGGCTTGTGAGTCCTGAGTACAAGGTTGGGGTTGAAAAATGAACTGAAACCATGACAATTAGGGCTCATGGGTTGAATCTGTTGGGTATCATTCTGTAGCAATATCCGATTTGTGTGTTGACTGTTGGGACTGGGGCTATCAGTGAAAATGTGCAATGTGTTATTGAGTGTGGGTTTGATGTGAGAATTGGAATTGTTGTGGTTGAGATTTCTACTGGGGATGTTCTTTGTGAGGAGTTTAATGATCATTTTATGAAAGCTGGCTTAGGGCTGCGATTTTGAGCTCCTGCAGAATTACTGCTCTGTGTTTATATCTATAAGGCTCCCTTACATAAAGGTGCATTGAACAACTTCATTTATTGTTCTTTTATCTGTGGAACTATGTAATATGTCACTTTTCGAATAAAGTATTTTTTGTATACATAAAGCCATAAAGGTAATGGAAGTATAACTTTCCTGGCTGTTAATTCAGAGAGAATGCCCGAATCAACAGAGGGCATAAGAATTATGACCATCTTGTTTTGGGGAAGTCAAGGAGAAAGCTAAATATTTTGATGAACCAGATCAAAAGTTGCAATTTTTGTTAGATCCTCGGTGATTTGAGGTTTTTGTACAATATGTCACTTTTTGCTCTTTTGTCTCAACTGGGAACATATATCACTTGATAAAAGCCACCTTAGATTCCAGTTTAGATGCTATAGTTGTTAATTGTGGATGCTCATTGTGGAGATTTTGGCCCTGTTTTTAAAAAAATTCAACCAACATTTTGAAGGAGTTGACAACTCTGATGTTATAAATCAAGCCAAGTTTACTGCAATACTTCTGCTAGGACATCAAAGCTCCTGAAAACATCAGTATGTGGGAGAAATATATACTATATTTCGTTAGAAGGATCCAAAAGGGTGCTGAGTAGTTGTTTTACGTTATCTGTTAGCTACTTAATACAACCTCCTTTCCTTTAATTTAGTTAGGTGGGTGAATATATACGACACTTGAATTGCATATGGAGCTTTTCAGGTGAAACGATTCTGACAGTTACTGTTCGCATGTTGCTGTTCAATTCCAATTAGGAATTCGTTGGATCCTTTAGGATCATCTAGTAATCTATGTAAAAGAATATTATTTTTGGATTGTTAAATGCATTGTCATTTTTGCATCCAAATCTGTATGGTGCCTTAAAAAAAGCTTCTGACTTACAGGTTTCCAGTTCAACTCTCTGGTTTAGCCATCTGGTTTGTTATATCAGATCTAAAAAAAAAATTTATCAGATCTAATTAAAAAAAAATTATTTTTTTTCACAATCTTTTGGCGACCATTTGAAGTACAATGCCTCGCTAGGATGTATAACAGGCAATATATATTTGTATTTGTATTTTTTGTTTGCTTATATTATTTATTTATATTTTTAAGTACACAATTTGACATGGTTACATGAATACAACAATTTCTGTTTCTCTTGTGCGATTTGTCCATGTGACTATATATCTCTAAGAATTTTGATAACCCAATTTTGATGGAGGGAAGAAATCTGTAATGTATTTATGTAGTAGGAAATTTTGAAAGGCCAAGTGTAAGAATCAAACCAAGAACACCGCATTTGCTTGATCTCAGGGATGAATAGAGGAACACTACATGACTTCAGAGGAGCCTTTCTGGAAACAAGGCGGTTATTGGTCTTTGTCATTTCTCATCACCTGTTAGTTGTGATAAACATAGACATGCCAGTCTGTGCTTTACTTTTAAAGTCAGTCCATGAATTTCTTTTGCCAGTCCACTAGCCCCTCTTCCCTAATTGTGGTTGAAGTGCTCCTTATGTTATCAGCAGGCATAGTTATAATCAATAAATCTGTTTAAATTTTGGTTCAACCAAACATGAAAAACAATTCTCACATATGCATGCATTTTACAGTGTTTACTTCCCATCTTATTGCTCTTCTATCCTATATTGGCTGAATAATGAAAAATATTTACTTAGTTGCTATTGGCATACGCTGGACCGGCCTCAAATGTCCGTGTGGAGTGTGCCTCACGAGATTGTTTCAAAGATGGCGGTGCACTTGCTGAAGTGATGTCTTTGTATGAGGACATTAATAAAAAGAGCTTAGCAGATCATCAAGAAGAAGAAACAGAGGCATCCAAGCAGGAAAATAATCACCTGGCGATCGAGGTATGATATCTACTAATGTTCTTTCTTTATGAATAGAACTATGCTCAACCATGGGTCATTATTTACCTGGCTAAGAGAAAATAACTTCATATAGTTTACTGGTAAGCAACAATAACTTCATGAAATTTAATGTTAAGTAGTAACAAATTCATGTATGGATATGGCAATAGTTTACTGTCAAAAAGGGGGCAGGAAATTTATTCTGCTTTATTGAGCGTGTTGATTGTTGTAGTTGAGTATGGTTTTCCATTCTGTTTGTTCCTTTTAATCTGGATCTTTACTTTTTTTCCCCCTAACTATGTAATATTGGTTTTAAAGGGAATTATGGCCATGCCAGATTTAGCTGTCCAAGCACTAGCCATAACCATTCGCCATTTAAAGCAATTTGGGTTTGAAAGAATTCTGTGCTTGGGAGCTTCATTTCGGTCTTTCTCCAGCAGCATGGAGATGACCATGTCAGCCAATGCACTTCAACAGTTAGAGGTAATTGGTGCTTTTTATATGGCTTGCTGTGGTGTTATTTGCTTATGACTTTGTTTAGAATCATCTATGGCGTTTGAAGTTTGTGTTACTCATTTATCAATGCACATGTATAATCGGCATCGGAAACTTGATACTCATTTATCAATGCCATAACACGTATAATTGGCAATGGCTACTGGATCTTGTTCTTGGTTTCTTCATCCTTTTAAATATTGGGTTTAATTAGTTAAACACCTTGTAGGTTTTGAAGAATAACTCTGATGGTTCTGAGTCTGGCTCACTGCTGCAGTGTATGAATCATACTCTTACTATATTTGGTTCAAGGCTTCTTAGGCACTGGGTATGGAGTGCACTTATTGTGATTTCCTTGTGCTCTTTATTTTCCAATATTTTAGTTTTGAGTTCTTCCACATGGTACAGGTGACTCACCCTTTATGTGATAGAAATACGATATCTGCTCGTCTCGATGCTGTTTCTGAGATTGCAGAATCTATGGGCTCTTGTGAAGCTTCACAGAATTCTGGCAGCCTTGATCTTGGAGATTCTGATGTCACATTTATACAACCTGAGCTTAATTATGTGCTTTCTTCAGTTTTGATTACTTTAGGAAGGTTACCTGATATTCAACGTGGAATAACAAGAATTTTCCATCGAACAGCGACCACATCTGAGGTAAAATAGTCTGTCCTCAAGCTTGCTAATGTGTGTATGTGTACCGATATCTAGGTTGCATATTTTTCGGTTATTGTTGTGAAAAATCTGACTGTTGATGTTGCCCCATCCTAGATCCCCAGTGTACTCAGTTTTTTCCTTTTCCTTTTTAATCTCTTGCGCTTTTTCTCACACACACTCACTTGTTTTTCTTTTTATTTGTGGGGGTTGGGTAGGCAATGTTTAGGTACCATCGTTGCCTAAGTTGTACTGTAATCTCATTTAATTTTAAATAATTTTTTTCAGTATTTTATTGTGAAGTTTTGGCTTTATGATCCAACAAAATTAAGCAGTTGACATAATTACGATCTTCTTAATGTTATATTTTTCGGTTATTGTTCTGAAAAATCTGACTGTTGATGTTCCCCATCTTAGCTCACCAGTGTACTGAGTTTTTCCTTTTCCTTTTTAATCTCTTGCACTTTCTCTCTCTCACACACACTTTTTTTTCTTTTTATTTGTAGGGGTTGGGTAGGCAATGTTTAGGTACCATCGTTGCCTAAGTTGTACTGTAATCTCATTTAATTTTAAATAATTTTTTTCAGTATTTTATTGTGAAGTTTTGGCTTTATGATCCTACAAAATTAAGCAGTTGACATTATTACAATCTTCTTAATGTTACTACTATTCTTTTGTTCTTTGGTTCATTTAATGTTCTAGGTAGAGTGTTGTTCAATTGATGGTGAAGCCCTTGCATATTGCATAAAGAGTTTACTGAATTAGTACGTCGTCTATTGTTTTCGTGATGATTTTATAGGGAGCTATTGATCATCGATTTAGAGTATCTGAATGGCCTAGGATTCTTTAATTTTCCACTGCATTAGAAATATATTTTTCAAGGCAGTTAAATTTCTTCTTCTTTTTTCTTTCTTTCTTATTTTTTTATTTTTATTTTTTTGGTTAAAGTTTAATCACATGAATTTGAAATGCCAGTAGTTGTGGTAATCTGGATCAATTTCCAAAACGCACCGTTAACAAGGCAAGGTAACTATAGATAAAGTTACATCCGAGAATGAAATCACCATGCATGTATGGGAAGCAGAGAATTTTTGGGATAATGAATTTTTTATCATTAAGCCAGATAGCAATATCCTTTGCTTTAAACTGAATGACATTCAGGCTTACTGGCATCTTCTGTATCACTTCATGGTACAGTTTGTATCAGTCATTCAAGCGATCTTGGTTGCTGGAAAACAACTTCAGCAACTTCACATTGAAGAAGAGGACAAAAGCAAAAATACACCAATGAAGACTGTGCGCTCTGTACTTTTGAGGAGGTTGATTTTGACAGCTTCATCATCCAGTGTAATTGGCAAAGCTGGAAAACTTTTGTCCACCCTAAATAAAGAAGCTGCTGCTCAAGGGGATCTTCAAAACTTATTCATCATCTCTAGTGGACAATTTCCGGAGGTTTTTTACAAATATGTCTCATATTTTGAATTTGTGCTGCACATTGTCTTCACTCATTTTTCCCAATTGTTAGAGAAATTCATTTATCTGCAGGTTGCTAGAGTTCGAACGGCCGTTCAACTGGCAAAGGAAAATTTGGATTCATTGATTGGTTTGTATCGCAAACAGCTTAAAATGCACAAATTGGAATTCATAAGTGTGTCTGGAACAACACATTTGATTGAGGTAGTTGAGTTCAATTTAATTGAAATAGTTTCTCTCATGGATTTTGTTATGTCAAAATTCTAACTTCTTTATTCAAAATGATATTTCTCTCTTTGTGACTTCAAAATCTCTTAATATTTTTTGTGAATTCTTACTTAATTGTTTTTATTTCACTAGGATATCACTGACTTTAACAAGTGTTTGGGTTGCTAAATTTAGAAATATATTTTGGCATAAATGTCTATTAGATAAAGAACTCCAGACTTCAGTGTTGTTTCTGAATTAAGCAAGTGTGTAAATTCTTTTTGGTGGAGGCATAGTTTAGTTAAAAAGGAGGACTCTTTTTATGGCATTATGGGGCTAGGATTGTGGTTTGTAGTAGAAGCACACTGGTACTTCTGGTTGATTAATGTAGTAAATTTTGGAATATTAATGACTTAAACCAGACTCAACTTCAAGAGCAACTCTTTCCTGTTACCTTTGTTTTTTCATTCTTTTTTCCCAGCAATATTTAGTGGATATCTGCCCTGAGATTCGACTCTAATATAGTAGTGTTATTTTATAATATTTATGTTTTTTATTTTAAATCTAAATTTTATATTTAATGGTATCCAGCATAGTTGCTAGACTTATGTTGCCCCAGTACGCTTTGGGAGATTGATGTTGTGTGGTTGTTTATTAAATATCTCTATTGATATCCTAATTCTTCATCTTATTTCTATGACGCTAGTTTGTGTTTGGACCTACTTTAATGTAGCTTTAGCTGCAGTTGCCATCAGATATAAGGGTACCTTCAAACTGGGTGAAGGTAAATAGTACGAAGAAAACAATACGCTATCACCCACCTGAAGTATTGACTGCTTTAGATCAGTCATCTCTGGCAAATGAGGAGCTTCTTGTTGTCTGTCGAGCTGCTTGGGATTCTTTTCTGAAGGAATTTGGTAAACATTATGCCGAATTCCAATCTGCTGTACAAGCACTAGCTGCTTTGGATTGTCTACATTCACTAGCCACTCTTTCAAGAAATAAGGTTTACTCTTGAGGGACTATAAGCTTTACTTTTCATCTTTTTAAAGTTTATGTCATGTAATCTTTCCAAAATCTCTGTTTGCAGAATTATGTCCGTCCTTTTTTTGTAAATCACAATGAACCTGTGCAAATACATATTCGTTCTGGTCGTCATCCGGTATGTAACTGTTCACTAAATCAACGTGTAGTGTTTCAAAATATGACTTGTTGGTACAACGATAATATTTCATTGATACGAATTATTCAAAAGGTTAAAGTACCTATTTTTATGAGTGCTCAAGATAATATGATACTCTCTTTAACTGCTCACGTTAATATGATACTCTCTTTTGTACAATGAGAAACCTTTTCCATCTGTATTAGGAGCTCTAAGGTTAGACTTTAAGGTAATATGATAATCTCTTTAACTATGACTGCTCACGCTAATATGATAATCTCGTTTTTACAATGAGAAACCTTTTCCATCTGTGTTAGGAGCTTTAGGGTCAGACTTCTCCTTTGATTGTTTTTTCTTGAGTGGATTAGGCTGTTGTTTGATGTGTAAATATAATTGAGGTTTTAGAAAATTTCCAGGCATCTGTTTGAACAGACTGCTAATCATGTCGGTAAGGTTTACGAAAGAAAAATTGTTAAAAAATTATAATCATACTTTTTAGATTCCAATGGGGTACATAAGCACATGAATCTTGAAGATAGGGGCGGCTTATTTCAATTTATCTATATCAGTTGATGTAGCCGAAGACCTGGCAAGTCAGTAATGTGTAATGTCTCTCTCTCACACATTGAATGCATGCCAACATACACAAAGTTGCTGGTCAAAATTGGGATGCTTTGCTCTTATCAGGTTTTGGTTTTGATCTCTCTCTCTCTCTCATGAGCACATAGCCACATACACAGGCGCACGTGCATGCATGCACACACATTGAATGCATGCAGAGACACACATGAAGTTGTGGTAACAAAAATTTGGGATGCTTTGCCCTAATCAGTTTTTGATCTAGCAAGTTGGCATCCCAGGCATCTGGTTGCAGATCTGAGTATGTAGGTCGTTTGATGTGCCTTCCTCTGGGAAAAATGGTGTGGAATTCGATTAATAGGAATACTGAAATTTAGGAGAAAGTATGCTTGTCAATTATTAGCTAATTTTCTACAAGTCACTTTCAAAAAAAGTCACTTTGGTTATGCTAGGTTCTGAACTATATCAACAGATCATTCTCATTATATATATTAAGTCATGGATGCTGACTTGGCAATTTTGAATTTGAAAAGATGATAGAGGTTTATTATGTTGTGTCCAGTTCTTAATGTTTTTGAACTTCTATGTAATTCACATCTTTACTGTTTTCACAATAATTTCTGACCAGGTTATGGAGACTATATTACAAGACAATTTTGTCCCAAATGACACAAATTTGCATGCTGAAGGAGAGTGCTGTCAGATTGTAACTGGACCAAACATGGGAGGAAAGAGTTGCTATATTCGCCAAGTTGCTCTCATTGCTATTATGGCTCAGGTATAATCAGTATTTAGAGCTCACATTGATGTTATTTCGCTGTTCATTATTACCTATTCTATGATGTCTCAAAGATTTTCAGTAATTGTTGTTTGAAGAAATGAGAGAATTTGTGGTGGTATGCCAGCTTGATCTATTTTCTCACATCCCCAGTGTCATATTTGTAAAAGGTTCTCTCAACTATGAGACAAATTTACTTATTTCTATCTTTCAAGTACCTGTTGCATGTTTGTTCATGTTCTGAAATAAAAGGTTCCAATCAATTTCTCTTTCCCAACTAGTTTAAGGGCGGGAATCATTATCTTGAAGTACGAAATTTACCTATTTATTTCTTTCATTGACCAAAAAGAATATATATCACAGCCATAGCTTCATCAATATGTGTCCTCTGATTCCTCCAGGTTGGTTCCTTTGTACCAGCATCGTCAGCAAAGCTGCATGTGCTAGATGGCATCCACACTCGAATGGGCGCTTCTGACAGTATCCAGCGAGGAAGCAGCACCTTTTTAGAAGAACTAAGTGAGGCTTCTCACATAGTTCACAAATGCACAGAACGCTCGTTGGTTATTATCGATGAGCTTGGGAGAGGCACAAGTACACATGATGGTGTAGCAATTGCTTATGCTACATTGCATCATCTTCTAGAGCAAAAAAGATGCATGGTCCTCTTTGTGACCCACTACCCTAAGATTATTGACATCAAGAAGGAATTTCCAGGCTCTGTGGGGGCATATTATGTTTCATATCTCACATCACATAATGAAATGGATATGGTCAACTCAAAGTCTGATCAGGATGTTTACAGTATGGATCATGAAGATGTCACTTACCTTTATAAGCTTGTACCTGGTGTTTCAGAGAGAAGTTTTGGATTTAAGGTCTCTCAGCTTGCACAGGTTACTTGCTGTCCCATCTCCCTATAGTAAAGCAGAATAAGTTATATAAAGCATACTTGTTATGGTAATTTCGTGTCACAATCCAGGAGCAAAAGACCTGCAGACTGAAAATTAGCCCTTACCAAAGTGTCCAGAATGCTGAATGAGAGAGCTTGAGTAATAGAAATGAAAAGTACCTGGATCTAAAGCGCCTGTATCAAATTCATGCATGCACAATCTTTATGATATAATTGCATTTATGCACACACCCACACCCACACCCATTATTGCCCCAATTTTGACTTAACCCTCAACCTAGGAGGAGGAGGAGATGCAACAAAAGTTAAATCTCACTGGTGTATATATTTGCATATTATGCTTTGTTTACTTTGTTATCGAGTCCTGGATTTTGTCGAGATAAAAAATAGAAACGCCTCTCTAATAACATGGTGATTGTCATCTTGCTGTTAACCAAGTCCAGCATGTTGATGGTGGGCGAGGATCTGAGTCATGTCGACCACTCATCAATTGTTTTATTTTTGAATCTCAAGCGTGCTCCAGGCTGGATCCAAATGGAGGTGGATCAGGAGTATGTATGCAGCCTTACAAGTTTGAGAAAATTAGCTAGAAAAACACGAATTATATGGGCCTTAATTTGGTCATTGTACCAATACTTGTGCGTCTGCAATACAGATATTTGTAATCCGCGAATTAGTTGTGGATCCGCTTAAAATCTACAACTTCGTGAACAAGAATGGGACTGAAGCCCTTCTTAGGAAGATAAGGGAACTTAGTTTCTCATAAATAAATAAATAGAACTCTTTGGACAATTAAAATGAGGCTGGGCAAAATAGGTCTATTCTCACTGGAGCATTTCTTATCTAAAAGCTCCCTATCTACTACATTCATTTTAAACTGTTATTTTAGTGATTTGGGCTAATATTTGTTTCGTTTCCAGTTACCTTCTTCATGTATTCGTCGGGCCATTGTCATGGCTTCAAAGTTGGAAGCAGCAGTGAGCAACAGAGAAAAAGACAGATTAGCATTGAAGTCAATAAAAGAAACACTCGTAGTTAATCAAGAATCAGCACAAGCTGGCAGAGAGATTGAGGACTTAGAAGAATTGACTGATGCTTACAGGGAATTCTTTTCGAGCCTGAACTCTGCTTTGGGAGATGATGATCTTGCCAAAAGCTGGCAGTTGTTGAAGCATGCTAGAAGCATTGGAATGGAGTTGATCAATAGGTAAAGGTAAAGTATCTAGCCTTCCTGCCTTACTTTGTTTCTTTTTTGTGCTTCGATTCATCTCATGATGTCTATAATCCTTTATTAACATTATAAATTGTTTATGTTAGTTTTGGTTCTGTGGACGTGTCGAGTTTATTTGTTGAGGATGATATCCATTTATACTATCTTTTACTTTCTGACTTGAATCAGATCTTTCTCATAGGGTATCCTATCTTGTATCGGATTTAACTTTGTGGACTTCAAGTGCCTGTGTTGCCCAACCATGAGAGGCGCAGGGAACTTAAATGTTATCATTGTATTTGCATCTGCACGGGTCTTCAGCAGTTTTGTCCATTCCAGTTCGCATCGGTTCATTGAGTCATTTACTCACTTTTGTACCTCTTCAGATGTAAATGGCCATCTTGAAAGCAAAATGGCATATATAGTGCAGGGAGAACGAAGCTGTACCGATAGAAGCATAGAAATTGAGTAATGTGTATTGTAAATTATATAAATAATACTTTTTTTTTTATTGCTCTCTCTCTCTCTCTCTCATTAAAAAATGGAAAAAACAAAAACAATATCTCATATGGCGGCATGCCGGTAAACAACATAGCCGATGGGATGAGTCAGGAAAAGAGGTGTCACTGTGAGGCCCCGAGCCAGAAGCGCCCCCGAGCTTGAGAGTGAGGATGTGCATTGATCCTCCGCTGTTTTGCAGGGTTGCAGTATAGCAGTGGACACGACTGTGATTATAATACAGAGTACTACAATACAACTGATGAACGTTGCCAAACTTGAATCCTCTCCAGCACGAGTATCCAATGACTGTCGCATCTTACAAGGTCAACTTAAAATGAGAATTGTTGATTTGATGATCACTGTCACCGCTATTTTATGAAGATTCAAACCACTAGTATGTACAAGAGAAGATCCAAGTTCGTCATTGTAGCCAGGGTTGGTTCCAATATTCTGAAAGAGGCCATTAGTAGCCACCACTCTGGTCGTGCCTCTTTGATGACGAGAGAGAATCTGGATGACACAGAAATGTTTGAATCCAGAGCTAAATAATAAATCCCATCGAGAACCAGTTATGAAGAGAGCTGGAAGAGAAAAGGCAAAAAGAAAGTATCTTCAAAACAAGACTCCGATACAAAATTGAACCTACGTTTCTGGTATGAATTGCCGCTAAAGCTTCTACACGTTGAACAAATATCCGGATAGAGATCTCCCTTTGATGAAGAAAACCAACATAAATCCCTTCATTATGGCGTGATAAGAATTGCCAAGAAAGCTTTTGTATATAGAATGACAAAATATGAACATAATGGATCAGCCTGTGATGATTTCAATCTTTACATTTCTTCAGCAAAATGAACTTGTAAAGCACGGTTGTACACTAATAGGTCAAACAAATTTCATCACATATTGAAACAAGCCCAAGAGTCATTATCTTATTCATTTAGAAATGATGCTCACAACGATAACACCATTCCAGAAAGCAAAGTTCAAGCACAAACACTTGCCCCACAATAGACTACAAAAAGCAAGACACAACTTGCCTAATGACAAACTTTTATAGATGTTTCACTAACAATAACAAATCAGTATTCCTTATTCCCAAAATTCTTGCACCAGAGCTGCGAGGGAATTGGTCGAACAGGATTATGTGGTCGTTGCTGCAAAATATAAATAAGTAATAGAAGTCTCAGTACATGTTTAAGATTAACCAGAACAAGAACATGACATGATATTTATAAAAATTAATTTCAGTATAAAGAATCGGTCCATTCATAGATATTTTTAAGCAAACCAAGATAAAAAAATGCATAAACATGTTACATCCATTACTTTTTTCAGGAAGACTGGAAGGAGCAAAAGAAAGGCAGAAGGGGGTGTCGTAATGGACCTTTCGAAGTGTCTAATCAAGTTCAAATTTCAATAAAACGCTAAAGAGCATAACAGTTCCTTAGTCTAAGAAGGCCAGAAGTAGAACTAATGTCCCATCCCTTAAAAGAACCAGACATCACGAACTGATGCACAACAAAGGTTCAAATGCTAGTCTTGACTTCAGCAGCACCCAAAATTGACTCTTGCTCGGAAGCCTATAGATCATTGCTTTCATTCATCTTTACTTGTTTACAATATGGAAGTTGGAATTTGTATTGAGAGCCACAAAGATGCACATTTAATAGATTCTTGGCCGGACAATTGGAGTAACCTAAATGCAATCTATGACATTAAATCACCAAAAAGAAACTAAATTGAAAAACCTGGGAACTGTTATCCTATACAAATCAATAAGAAATAAAGGTAGTCACAATAGGAGGCTAGGAGCGCCTTTCACATTTAGTTGTGGGATTGAGGCTTAAAGAATCCACCTCAAATTGTCAAAATGAAACAGATATTCACACTTAAGTCCTAATGGGCTCCAGATTCTTCATGCCCTGACATTCTTTCTTCTGTCAATGAGACAAATGCGCAAGTTCGTCGAAACGATGTGTGGAGTGTAGATGTTTTGTAACTATTATCACACTTTTTTAATAGAAAAAAAGTGAACAAGAAATCCAACAACTGCCATTACAGATATTACCCAGGATTCTGTATTAGAAGAATCCATAGCTCGTCGTTTTGTTAATGGAACATGTTCTGTTTGTGTCAGAGTTGGTAATTTCAGCTCTGGCTGAATGAAATTTAGACTAAAGATCTAATGGACAGATGCTTCCTAGGATATTCAGGCATTTGATTGCTTATCACCTGTTAAACCCCAAAGATTGCTAGAATTTTATTTTAATTTTCCCCGTCCCATTCCTCCTTCTCCCTTCCACCTGTGTCCTAAAGAGGATGAGACGAGAATGGATTTTTTATTTATTTAATAAGTCTCCAAAAACATGGAGGATAGGTTGAATCAGAGAACCGGAAATCTGACACAGAAAATAACATGGTTTATCACATGCAGTGAAGCCAATAAATTGATTAAAGAGGAGAGACAGTTTGATTCAACCAGAAAGTGCAGCAAGAAGAAACATAGGTGGCAAGAAAAGGACATGATAAAACTTATCAATATTCTAAAATTATTAAAATTTTCAATTATCTTTCAATATAAATCCTGAAGGCATTTATCAAATAAATAAATCAATAAATCCGAAATGTTGTCGCAAGTAGTTGGGATTTGAGGCTTTAACAAGTTGAGATAAGCACAAACTCAACTCAACAAAACGTTGTCCAAACTATTCAGGATTCTCACACAGGTTTTATGCTTCTTCCCCAACTTCTGAAGGCTTCATCATAAATTTGAGCATCAGATTACCAAACTTTAATCATGAGCTTTGATCACAATAAAATTTAACAAAGCTAGTTTACTGTACTTCTTTCTCTTGAGAACTAATTCAATGCAGTAAAGGAATGACAATCTGCCGAAGTGAAATTACCGAGTTATATAGGTGTATAGTTAATAGAGGTGTACTTCCACCCTATCCCAATCATAAAATAATAAGAATAATAATAACAACATGAAAAATGAAAAAATAAAAAAGCAAAGAACCCCATTAACAAACATCCTTAATTCATTCCAGATCTATAGGATTAGCCCTGTGCACGAGACTCCCGCCATTGTGGGATCTGGGGAGGGTTAGATGTATGCAGCCTTACCTCCATTTGCAGAGAGGCTGTTTCCTTGTTTCGAATCCGTGACCTCCAGGTCACAATGGAACAACCTTACCATTGCGCCAAGGCCTGCCCTTATTCTAGAGCTATAGAGGTGTATAATTTAATGAAACAAGAACGAGAACCCCTTCGCCATAAAATTAATATTCATTTTCAAGGTCACCAAAGGATTTCTCCACATGATACAATAAAATAAATCACATTCACAATGGTCTGGTGCCTTTTGATAAATAACCATTAACAAACACTTGTAGTTTATGTACATCTAATACACATCCTACAATAAATTTGATTGATGCAATACAAAATATAAATTTATAGTCACACCTTAGGATTTAAGAAAGGGTGGGCCTTGGCGCAACGGTAAGGTTGTTCCACTATGACCTGGAGGTCACGGATTCAAAAAAGGAAAATAGCCTCTCTGCATGCAGAGGTAAGGCTGCATACATGGACTTGACCCTCCCTAGACCCCGTAATGGTGGGAGCCTCATGCACTAGGCTAACCCTTTTATCTTAGGATTCATGAGAAGCCAAAGGCAACACCAATTAAGTACAAGATAAGGGAAATTAGTGTTACAAGGTGTGGTCCTGAACAAATGAAGACCAATAGATGAACCCCGATAAGTGATTTTGATTGAAGTTGAATTGTTCAAGGAACAAGAGGAATGCCAAAAGCAATATCAGACTAGGCAGGGAATAAAGACATGATGATGGCCTCTGATCTAAAGAAGATATGACTTGAGAGGAAGCTAAATGGTGAAAGAAGGATAGGTGTGACTGCATTCTAATAGATCAGGGTTTGCAGAGTTCAATTGAGCTGATTAAGCCTTAGTAAATCCAACCTAATGGCAGTGTCACTAAATAATGTGTCCTAAATGCATCACCTAACAAAAATGATTAAATTGAGTCATGCAAGAGATGAGGCTTTTTGTTAGAATAATAGAACCCAATCATATTTTAAAGTTATCTTATGGAACAATGGCCAAACTTGTGTTAAGATCGTTGATTATGTTGCCAATTACATTACAGTAATACAGAAATCAATGGGACATTATATCATAGGACTTGTATAACCAAACAGAAAGCCTTCGGATTTCACTCACCCCATCCGCAACCCAACTCCAACTCCCACGTACCTTGCAGGATAGAACTCATATAAAGTTCACCAAAACGGAGGTAAAAAGTGTACAATTATAATGGGATTGAATCATTTCTCCCCATAAACAAATTAATACGTAAACAAAAAGCAAGTTAAAAGCTCAAAATTGAAGGTGGGCCTTAGTTACATTCCCACATAGAACATCAAAACAACAGGAAGGAGACACCTTGACCACTAAAAGCATATCTATACAATTATACAAGCAAAGGCCACTTTATTTTAAACAAGGCTGTACAAACAACTCAACCAACACAAAGGCCTGAAAAAAATAAAAAATTAAAATTAAAATTAACAATACAGTAAGAAGCATTTACAAAGGCTAAAATGGATGACAGCAGCCTCCAACGAAGCTGCATAACTCTATTTTCAGTGCATTCCTTGAGCTTCAAACCTTATTTATCCTTTTATTCATTGCTAGAGAGAGTACTCTCTGCAAGGCAATTCATTTACTCATATGAGCTACAAAAGGCTAAAAACTCAAAGCCCAAATAACCTATCGAAAACTATTAATATTTGAATCCTTTAATATATTCGCAGGCCACTAACACTCTTCAATCCAAACAAATTAGAGAACGATGATTAGCGATATAATTCCATGAACCTAAATGGTGCGACTGATTCGGCATATAGACCTTGATATTAGTCAGTTCATTACCATCAACCAATTTCTATACACCAAAAATACATCGCAGTGAAAAATGTTAACTACAAAATCATCTCTTAACACCTACATTGCAAATCACACATAGTAAGAAATGTACATATATATAAATTAAATTAAATAAAAGATAAAAAAACCTCTTTAATAAAACCTAAAACCCCGATCGTAGTTAAACAATAGATCATCACAATCTCAGAAAACCTATATCAAGAACACCAATTTCATATCTGGAAAATAAGAAAATCGAAGACCGTAAAGATTCAAATAGGACTAAGCTCAGATCTTGTTCTACACACACAAATGCATCTATACAATTATATATATAGAGAGAGAGAAGGGAGTGGGAAGGGTGAGTAACCTCGAGCTCAGCAGATTTTATGGCGATGGGGATGCAGACGAGGAAGATGCCGGCCAGGGCGAAGGCGGTGTTGCGCCTCCAGTGCTTGGGCCTGCAGTTAGGTCCGCCGGTCATGGTCCACACTTTGGTTCTGAAGTCTCCTCCGTGGGCCCCATCCGCGTGGTGTCCATGATCTCCGGCCATCTCTCTATGTTCTCTGTGTTCTTCTTGTTCAATTCGAGTACGAAGCAGAAGAGTACTGAGCTAGATGATGATTATGGATGATCTCGAATGGGGTTTTGTTGAAATGCCCCTGATTTGGCTGCTTCGTGAGTCACCCGGACCGTTGATTTTGGCCTACCACATCTGATTTGGGGCTTGGATAGTTGGATGGCCAAAGAACGACGTCGCTCAAGTGTAAGATTATTATTTTTATTATTTTTATATTTCCGCAAATTAAAACTAAGTTCACACACCCACCAAATAGTTGAGCAGATGACTCGAGCTTGAGCTCGATTTCTAAATTTGTTTATTTAAGAAATTGATTGATGTTTAATATTGATCAACTTCACTTATATATGTTCATAAACATATGCTCTCAGGACTCATACAAGCTTAAAACATAATAAAATATCATGAATATTGGCTTGCATGAACTTAAGTTTAGTAACATAAATTTGTATAAGCTCGTATAGATATGGAAAGAGCCAAAACAATCTTAAAAACTCAAATTAAATCCAAATAACTTTTTATTATTAATTGAGTCAAATTTGAGTCGAGCTCAATTTTCTCAATCACTAGTTGAGCTCGAACTCTTCTATCTTTTCAAGCTCATTATGAGTTCAAGCCAAGTCCGAATTGATTCCACAAATAAGTTGAGACGTCATGTCATGCAAACTAGTGGCTCACTCGTGCTGAATTAGCAAGATTCTATCCTTCTAAAATGGCAAATATCATTTTGATTTACTAATAGTATATATGGGATATGATTTTGGCAATTCAACTAAGTTGGTTTTTTTAATTAATGAAATAACAAAATTGCCCTTTTATAATTAGAGTGTATGAGTAGATACTTTTTCAACTAACAGTGGAGGGTAAGAGTGATTTTATAGTTCAGATTTAGTGAAGAAAGATTGAAGGGTGTGTGGGTGGGTGTGGGGTTGCGATCGAGTTCATTTAGATTAATAATTGCCCGTTTGGTGTTGTTGTGGTAATGAAAAGAAAAAATACTTCCATTGTTAAAGCAGTTATAAAAAGTACAGTATATGAAGTACATTTCAAAAGTAAAGTACTTGTTAATTTATTAATAACAATATTCTTTAAAGTATTTTTATTGTCAAAATTTATAATAATTTTATTTTGATAGATGGTTACTATATTTGATAGTAGCGTGACTCTATCAAAAAAAAAAAAAAAAAAAATACAAAACATTTATTTGCCATCCAACATCTTTCTTCTATCTATGGACTAATTAATTACTGTGAAATTTTCAAGCTTGTGTTCTTTGAACACATTATCTTCCTACCTACTACAATTTTTTCCACTTTTATTAATAAAAAAGAAAGCTTAGAATAAGACATACCATCTTCCTCTCTCAATCAAGAAGAAAACTCTGTTTTAAGAACAATATTTTTTCACAATTAATAAAGTTTATGTATAAGTCATAACATGCATGTTGGATTCATTTGCAATCCTAATAACAACGTGTGTGACTGCGCAAGTAGAATTTAGATTCAATTTTTTTTTTTATTTTATTTTAGTTATTATTATTATTATTATTATTGTGTTAATGACAGTCACAACGAGACACAAACATCATTTAATTGCGATTATTTTGTTCTTAATTTTGCATCACAATATTTTAGTAGTACTGAATCGAATTGAGGAGGGTTTTTTTATAACTCTTCAAGCTGAAAGGATTTTCCTTAAGAAATAAAAATAAAATATAAATTTGTAAAATATTTTATTTTCTTTATATTATAAATACACAAACACACTCCGTAAGAAAACAAATTAAATAAATATATAATCTCATGGTCTAATCATAAATTAGAGAAATTGTACCCGTCATCCTACGAAGCATAAATTTGGGAGAAGTCATACATGTCATATTTGAATATAGAAACTTTGTCTAAAATAACACTTCCTACCTTATTTGAAAAACTGGATTGTGGACTTTATATATATATATATATATTTTTAAATAAATAGTGAGGACCAGAAATATTTTCAATTTTAATGTTGGTAGATGTGTATATGTGGACTATTTATACCAATTTCAAACTTTTCACAATTAAAAATTTTAAAGTTAATATGGTATTATTATACAGGTTTTTCAAATAAATTATTTAGAGCATCTCTAGTCTGTTAAAATATCTTTTATATAAATATTTTAATCTCCACCAATCTCTTAACATATACTGACACATCACAAATGTGTAAAATTGTTGTGTATTTTACACAATATTTTTACATAGTTATATCAATATATTTCATTTCATTTTTTTTTTTCTGATTTTATTAAAAAATAAATTATATATTAAGTTAGTTTGTAAAAATTATGTACGTCTATACATCACACTGGTTAAATATTATTATTGGGTGATATTTTATACATAGGTGATGTGGAAGAAAATTTGTGTAATGAATTGGGCGTTTGTCCATCCTGACTCAATTTTTTTATGTGAGACAAAATCCACGACATTTTAGAACACAATTTAGTGGTGCTTAAGATTCCTTGGTGTGTTCCAGTACAATTTGTAATGAATAAGACGTTTGCTCAAAAGTTCAAAAGATTATGTTGTACGTCATACTCGGTCTCATGAGCCCAAGACTCTCCTCAATCCGCCAACCTGATCCTAGTAGAATAAGACCACAACAATAATTCACATGGTGCAGAGTTGTTACGGGTCAGGTACTTTGCAGTCTGATTTAAACACTTAAGTTTTTGCAGTCTGATTTAAACACTTAAGTTATTAAGTAGTGTTAATATCTAAGTCTCTATTTTGAATCTGATGTGGGATAAGACTCTTCTCTAATATTCTCCTCTACTTGAACTGGCAACACCCTCATTGCAGATGGGTCATCTAGTATATCCGAGCACCTCTTTGGCTCTTTGGTGGGGTGTATTGTATCCTGATGGGCGCTTGGCGTAACATCAAATTAAGGATTGTGTCTGATATTAATATGCATAAAGTACATATTACACCCCTCCCGTGCAAAAAACACCCCTAAACTATGACATTTGTGCAAATAAGTCCTATTTATAAAAATTGGACTAAGATACCCTTAGCAACACATTTTATAATGTATATAAAAATATATATTTTGTGAAATGACTAAAAAGGACTTGGCCCTTCTTCTTCTTCATCTTGGTGGTTGCCAGGGAAGCTAAAACTGGAGAAGATACATATATACACAGACATATATATACACATATACATAGGCATATATATATATATATATATATATATATATATTTGTTGTAAATTTACATATTACACATATATACACAGACATATATATGCATATACGAGTCGCCGGGGAGGGAGTGAGAGGTTGATGTCGACGTCGCCGGGAGGGGATAAAGACGGAGGCGTCTCCGGGGAGGGAGATAAAGACGGAGGCGTCACATGCTCACGGCCGAACTCAGTTGTCACCGGCGGCGAAGGATAAACCAGATTGTGACTGCGAGGGGGTCCGAGGAGTCCTCTGCTTCTGGGTTCATCGCCGGTGATCTTCAACCTAGCCACCTGTCCAGCCGCTGCGTTAATTAGACTCCAAGCGTCGTCGGCGGCGACGAGACCTGAGAAGGACCGTTTGGGCTTCCATTGCTAGACCAGCTTCCGATTCCACTGAGAGTCGATTGAGGTGATCCGGACAAGACCCATGTCTTCTGAGTTAACACAAACACCGAATCTGAACACATTCTCATGAAATTCATGACAAAAACAAGCAAAATCAAAGATTATAGCATCATACCTCGATATTTTGGGGACGAGGAGTGTATTTCTGAATTTCTTGTAGAGTGGCCCGGGTCAACTGGTGAGTCAGCGCGCGCGAGGAAGTCCTCGTTACTCTCAATCTCCGTCGAGCTAACCATAGACTAACCGACGGACAGCGACGACGAGTCAAGATTCCTGTATGGCGAACGGCGGCGGTAGACTATGGTGATATGGGGTTTACGAATGGGTCTTGCAGCTTTTGGTGGTTGGCTTTGTAGGCTAGATTTTGGTGTTTGAGGAATTTGGTTTGGTTGGCAATGGCTATGGTTGGCAGTGGCTATGTGTATATATATAATTTGTAAATTTATAATAGATACATATATCTATCTGTATATTTATGTCTATGTATATGTGTATATACTAAGGTGAAGAAGAAGAAGGGCAGAGCCCTTTTTAGTCATTTCACAATATATATATATATATATATTATAAAATGTGTTGCTAAGGTCATTTTAGTCCAATTTTTATAAATATGACCTATTTGCACAAATGTCATAGTTTAGGGGTGTTTTTTACACATATTTTTAAATAAAGGGTAAAAGTGCTATAAAAAGTATACTTTGGGATGTTTCTTGCACTTTCCCCGATATTAATATCAATTGTAACGAGTTTGATGCTTCGTAATCTGGTCCAAAAAATTAAGCTCACATCAACACCCAACTTATATATATCTAATCACTTTTTTTTTCCCATCCGTAAATTTTTTTAATTTTGGTATTATATACTACCATTTTTTCTTCAATATTTTGAGTAGAGAAATGCTCTAAGAGGTCCATCCCATCATAAGAGTTAGGAGATCTTCTACTTTAACCATTTAATACCGGGGGGAAATCTAAAAGAAAATTCCACCTTTACCCCCACTCAATGATTTGGATTTTTTTTTTTAAATGGCGCCCTCACATAATTTTCTTCTGAGTAAAAAGAATAATATATATATATATATATATATATATATATATATATGAAAAAATTGGTTAATTAAATAAATTGGTCAATTATTAGTACGAAGCAGGACCAACCCACTACTTGCCAAATACCTAATACACTGACCAAATTTATGCTCGCCCTTCTTTTTCTCAACTCTGCCCTTTGGCATACTCTCTCCCTCTCTCCTCTCTCTCACAAAAATCTTCTCTCCCCTCTCTCTCTCACAAAAATCAGTCATGGCCCTGCAACTTTGGGAGACCCTGAAGGAAGCAATCACAGTATATACCGGACTCTCTCCGTCGACTTTCTTTACTGTCGTCGCTTTGGGGCTTGCCATCTACTATGTCATCTCAGGGCTGTTTGGGTCGTCTGATCAGCACCATCAGAGACCTAGGGCTGTCGAAGAAGAGATGGAGCCTCTTCCTCCTCCAGTTCAGCTTGGAGAGATCACTGAAGAGGAGTTGAAAGCCTATGACGGCAAAGATCCCAAGAAGCCTCTGCTCATGGCAATCAAGAGTCAGATCTATGATGTATCACAGAGCAGGTATATACTGCATCTATCCATCCATCCATCTATCTATCTATATATCTTATTTTCTGGGTATGTGGATTTTTGGGTACTCTCTTGTTATTTAGCTCATGGTTTGAGAATTATATGTACTTTTAGCTTCTGGATTTTTTTTTATTTTTTATTTTTTATTTTTATTGGATTGATAGTATTCTCGCTATATCTAATTTTGGTGAACCTTCAAAGTCGGGCGTGTGAGGAGTACACTTGTGGGGTTCAGATTGTCTAATTTTTTGTACATTGATTTTTCCTTTTGTTTACTTTCCAGTTGACTCTTTTGAGATTGATTCGATACTTGTTGCTTTTCTTCTCCAGAAACATTGGCTTTTCTTGATTTCTAAGGATTCAGGCATGTTTTAATCATGCAATATTTGGGTAACTTCGATATTTTTTTTTTAGATTTGATGAATTTTGGCTCAACTTTCTGGGGGATTTTTTTTTTTTTTTTGACCTAACTTTCTGGGGCTTTTGATGGGGTTCTAATTGAGTATCTAGTTAATGCTTCTGCAGAATTGGACAGTTGGACTTTCTTATGGTGCTACCAAGACTGCATTCACTTATCAATATTACACGTATTCAGTTTGATGATCTTGGATTTTCTATTATTTCAATTATGGAACATGGCTCTCAAAACCTTTGAGTTCAGCTGTTTTTTATTCATACTCTGCAAATAAGATCATAAATCACCTGTAACATAGTGTTATAGTAATCTATATAGAAATGTCACCCCACTAATACCGGGTTGCACTTTGCTGACTATGGTACTTTTTTTTTTTTTTTTTTTTCCTTCATACAAAACGTTTGCTGTCTATTTTGTCTCACCTGTTATCTTGGAATCTGGTTAGTTTTGGTGGTGGCTATAGTAAATCTTCATTGTAGTGTCTTCCTTTCTTCCCTATAATAGGCTTTTGCTAGACTTGTGCTAATTTCAGTTGAGTTCAGTTTTCACAATAGCCTAGAATTTTATAAGCATGTTTCATTTGGTAGTTCAATCTTTTTTATTTATTTTTGAATTTTTATTTTTTTAAGGTGAACTTTCAAACTCTCTTTTTGTGCATGTGAGAAGTAATCCTTTGTGGGATTCATACGATTCTAAGTTTGACTTCTATTTTTTGCATACTGATTTTCCCTGTTGTCTACTTTCCAGTTGACTCTTTTGTGGTTGATTCGATACTTGCTGTTCTTTTTCTCCAGAAAAAGATGTGTTGTTCTTGAATTCTAGGGATTTAAGGATGTTTTGATTAAGCAATATTTGGGTAAATTTGATGGGTTTTTGGCTCAACTTTCTGGGAATTTTGATGGGGTTCGTAGTGAGTATCTAGTTGATGCTTCTGCAGAACTGGACTGCAGGCTTTCTTCTGAAACTTTCTGCTGTTTGCCGACCAATTGAATGGGGTGTAATATTGATAAGCGTATGGCTTAACTTTCTGGGGAATTTTGATGGGGTCCTTACTCCTTAGTGAGTATCTAGTTGATGCTTCTGCAGAATTGGACTGCAAGCTTTCTTCTGAAACTTTCTGCTGTTTGCTGACTAACTGAATGGGGTGTAATATTGATAAGTCTATGCAGTCTTGGTACACAAATTAGTTTGTCTCTCTTCTTAGACTAACTGTTTCAATGTATGGCTGTGGTTGTGATTTGAATGTGGTCTTGTTGTTGGGCTATTTAACCCACAGTGAAAAAAGATAAATAAATAATAATAAAAAGTCAATTGCTGGTGTGAGTAGTGGTATTAACCACTAGCGTAAACCTGGGATTGGTTTGGACGTGGCTTGCAAGTTGGTGTTTCTTTTGGTGATGTAATTTGGGTGAAGTTGATTGGTGTATTGTGTGGCAATGTGTACTGAGTGAGGAAGAAAACATGTGTTAGAAGTCTTGGGTGATTTAGAACTCTTGGTGAATCATATTTACTGGCTAAGGCGGTATTAGATTGACTATAAATATGGGTGTATTTTAGAAGATGGTGTGTGCTGTTGGCGTATCAAAGTGTTGGTTGAGCAGACTGTGTTTTGTTGGCGTATCAAAGTGTTGGTTGGGCAGAGTATCTGTGTGAGTGTTGTTTGGGTATCAAGAAGTGTGTTTCGAGTGACAAACAATGTGTACTTGAATTGGAATAGGGGAAGTGTCTATTGTGCAGCGACGCAAGAATAACTGTGTGTTTGTGTGTGGCACAAGGGAAAAGGAAGATACTTGCTGCGGTGAACAGTGCAACGGAGGAGAAGGATCAATTTCGTAGGTTTGATTCTCAGGTAGGATCAGGGTTTTTCAATGGGTGTTTGGAAGGGTTTATTTGTAGTAAAAGTTAATACTATTATTGTGTTGGGTTCTCTCCTGTTAATATAATTTCTCAAGTTTGGGATAGAAACTTGAGAGGAAGGTAGTACTGGTTGATTTCATTAGTGGAATTATTGTTGGTTTGTGCTGTAGTTTTTTCCCTCTACATTGGAGGGTTTTTCCACGGAAATTTTTGGTGACTTGTGTTTTTGTTGCATCGTGTATTTTATACTTTGGAGATTATTTTTCTCACCAAAAAAATTTGGAACGAACACCTGTATGGTTAAACAATTAGAGTTTCATGATTTTGGATTTGCTATTACTTCAAGTATTGAACTTGGCTATCACAGACAACCCTTTGAGTTCAACTGTTGTCATTCATAATCTGCAAATAAAATCATAAATCATCTGTAACATAGTAATGCATTTAGAAAATGCATTCACCAAGGGCTGCAGTCTAGTGGAATTTCCTCACTTTTCGAAGTAAAAGTTGAATAGGGGAAGAAAAAATTTGCATTCCACCCACACAGGGTTGCAATTTGTTGTCAATAGTTTTTAATTCAATCTCTCTTCTTTTAGTTTTTATGTAGATGGTGTGACAAAATGGAGACCTCATATAATATGCATATCATGTAAGATTATGAACAAGTGACTCCTTATTGGATCTAAGAGAGTATTCGTGAACCAGTAACATGCGGGTTGACTGAGGCTTTGGTCATAGATGGAGCAAAATCCAAAGAAAGAAAAAGGTTCATGTAACTGAACTCAAGTAGTTGGGAAAAGGCTTTCTTGAGTTGAGCTGATAATTCGAATAAACCATATTTCCATTCATGGTACTTGAAGCAAGCAATTTGCTAGTCGTCCTACTTATTTAAATGGGTCATCTCATGATTTTAATTTTGTATTTTTCATTTTCCCCTCAAAATATAATATTTGTGAGTACTGCATCATAAATGAAACTGTGCAATCAATACTGTAACTCTGAACTTAAATTATTTAATTTCTTTACGTTTTTGAGAACATCCATAAAGCATCTTTTATATTATATTGTATGCTTCTACCTTGTCAGCGTGAGTGTTCTAAAACAAATAATATATGGATAAGTGATTTTTTTTTCTTTGTCTTTTGGTTATATGGACAAGTGAATATATATATATATATATATATATATATATATATATATATATTCACTTGTCCATATAACCAAAAGACAAAGAAAAAAAAATCACTTATCCATATATTATTTGTTTTAGAGTGAATATATATATATATATATATATATATATATATATATATATATATATTGGGTATATGGATAAGTGAATCAAGTAAAATTTTCAATTTATATTGATATTCACTTGTCCATATAACCAAAAGACAAAGAAAAAAAAATCACTTATCCATATATTATTTGTTTTAGAGTGAATATATATATATATATATATATATATATATATATATATATATATTGGGTATATGGATAAGTGAATCAAGTAAAATTTTCAATTTATATTGATATGTGCTGCAACTTTTAATTGTAGTTATTGGAAACGGTCCTTTCTTGTTGGATGTTTGATCTAATTCATACTAAAGCTGTCTACTTATTGAAAATAAACGCATCTTTTTGCCAGGATGTTTTATGGACCCGGAGGGCCTTATGCTTTGTTTGCTGGGAAGGATGCTAGCAGAGCTCTTGCAAAGATGTCCTTTGAAGATAAAGATCTTACAGGGGATATCTCTGGTCTTGGTCCATTCGAATTGGATGCTTTGCAAGACTGGGAATACAAATTTATGAGCAAGTATGTCAAGGTTGGAACTATTAAAAAGACAGTAACAGTAGCCGATGGGTCATCCACCGACAAACCTGCTGAAGCTACTGACAGCGATGTTGCCAAGCCTGAAGAAGGTGGTCCGTCAGAGAATGCAGCAGCTGGAACTGCAGAAACTACATCTGATGGTGATGCCAACAAAGAGTATATTGGTAGCTAGTTTCCGACCAATGAGGCAGTTTGGAACTGTGGAATCATTTGTGATGGAGACGCTGAGGAAGAGTAATGTTGAATGCCTGCATTGTCTACTCTAGGATACTTAAGCCGTAAACGAACTCGCTTGGATGTTTTAGTTTGTTACATTAATAAATTAGTCGGGCTGTTAAACTTTTCGTCTTGATACCAAAGTTCCACTATATTTCTCTATATATTGTCAGTTTCGAAGCTAGCTGCTTCCTTTCATGTTGGGTTAAGGCCTTCATTTCATGGTAAAGGTACAAATCAGCTCCACCTAGGTTATATTTCTGAAGCTTTTGTGGTAAGACAGCCCCAATGCTAGTCATAGCCTAGATGTTATGCAATTTGTATATTGACTTAACTTTCACAAAAAATATTCCAGGGCTGGACCTTGATGATCTATAGACCCTTTCTTGTTTTTGTCCATTTTGTGATATGGATCAAATTTACATACATGTGAATATCATCTTACATGAAACAGACTGGGTTTGGCTTCCAAGTTTCAAGCAAATTAGTACTCCTATGATAGGCCTGTCTGGAAGGGGCCTGGTCTCTGCTAGGTTGGCAAGGGGGCCTAACTGCGTTGCGAGTTTGGACGAGTGTACTAAATTTTACGAGTAGGCAGGGTGATCCAATCACACCGAGGGTGAGTTCGGATGAAGGTGCTCTAAATTTTATTGTTTGATCCAAATGTGTGGTCGTTGCGAGTTTGGACGAGAGTGTACTAAATTTTACGAGTAGGCAAGGGTGGTCTGATCACACCGAGGGTGAGTTAGGAAGAAGATGTTCTAAATTTTATTATTTGATCCAAATGTGTGGTGGTTACCAACAGGCCTGTGGCCAAGCGGTACAAGGCTCCTACTTTCCAAAGGGAGGTCAGGAGTTCGAATATCAGTGGAGGCCTTTTTGCACAAAAGAGATTAGTAGCCCTCTTTGAAGTACATGTATGGTTGTGAATTAATTTCCAACTTTGGTGTTTCTAGAATCAATTTTAGGTCCAGTCACAGATCTCCGGAAGTAGACCTTGCCCGCAGGGCATCGTGGTTGACATTGTGCCACAAACCCAGTGGTAGGTTGTTGAGGATAAGCTGTGCATTAAGGCGTTTTCAGCTGGCACTTGGAAAGTTACACATTGAAACATCTAATCAATGGAGTATTCAGGCACTATTTCATGCTTAATTGCATTTCCAACTACACCCTCACAAATTTATAATCTTTTATGCTATGTTACTTAAATAATATCATACTGTTTTGTACCTGCCTCCTTTACTTGGAGACTAGGTTGACGGAATCCATTGATTTGTGTATTGATAAACGGAAAGGAATCACGGATATAATATATAACATCGCCAAATAACTTTGAGATTATCTTATAGATACTTCTCGTAAGACTAATATGGTGGTATTTGACATGTTGATACAATTATTTAGACACATGTCAAACACAAGTAAGGATTTGTTTGAATAAATATGAAAGAAAAGAAAAGAAAAGAAATGATTGTAATAATCTCTATTTATGTTAGATAAATTATAAAAGAAAATTAAAAATGATAGTATGCTTGTTATAGTATTTCTTGTTCCAATAACGTAAAGAAAAAAAAAAAATAAGAACAATTAAATTATTATCATACCCTTTTATATTTACTCCAAATAACTATTACATCTGTTCTTCATTTGTTCCCAACTTTTCATCACACGGAATATATGGAGATAGAATCAAAGTCGTTTACTTCTTTTACTTAATTTACATCCCATAATATTTGAACTTTTTTTCTCTGCTTACGATATATTGATACAATGGTCCACATAACATATTATAATTAATTTCTCCTTCCTAGCCAAGTAAAAACATATTATAATGAAGTCATATTATAACGAGTATTATAACATGAGTGGTATAATAATTTTATTGTTTTAATCATTAAGAGTGATTTTGGAATTATAAAAATATTACTTAGCACAGTATCATTTCTCTTCAAATCTTTTCATTCTTGAAAATAAACAAAACGTTCTAGAGATTTGAAGGGATAGCTATTTCTCCAAATCTTTTTTTTTTTTTCCACTAAAAGTTATCCAAACACATTTTTCACTATTTTTTTTTTTTTTTGTCTTTCCAAATCATTCAACCCAAACGGACCCTAAAGTAACCAAGAATTTGAATATTTTGCTTTCTAATTGGATACACACATTAACACATTTGGAACACTTTCGTGATATAATGAGTGATTTTGTAATTATTTTTCCTAAAAGAAAGGAAGTCCATGCAATATAAAATATGTCACGAGTTAATTAAAAAATAATATAAAAATTTTAAAAACAAAGACAATAAACATCTGATTTGATATATGATTATTTGAATAAAATAAAAAAAATAAATTATATTGTTATTTTTTGAATACCCATGTTTGGATTAGTTACTAGTTCAAATTTGATCTCTGTCCATTTTATTTATGTATGGAGATTTACATATTGCCATATATGGTGTCTTATCATTAGCCATACACGTGCTTCCTGGTCAATTACAAACGATTTTTGTTAATTGACATTTAACATGTGCCAGGGTCATTTCAGTAATCTGCAAATCTATGGATAGACAAACGTGTGTTACTTGTCAACACATATGGCCGATTCTCAAATTTGGCTCCATCTCACTCACAAAGGTTGTTTGGTCCCTATAAATAGCATAACAAGTTCCAACCACCCTACACAAACATACAAACAACCCAAACAAACCTCATTTCCTCCGCTCCAAAACTCCTCCTCCCAACTTCTTTCCCTCCCATTCAGATCATGAGAATTCATTTCCCTCCACAATCAATTCTCATCTTCATCATCATCCTATCAACATTTCATCTTGCCAACTGCAGGCACATCAACAGAGTTGCCACCGAAGAAACAACATACACCATAGCAGCCGGATTCCCTTCTCCATTTTCGCGCCACCACTCAAGAGCTGCAACTGCTCGGTTTGTGGCGTTGAGCAACTACAAGGCCGGTCCGATACGCAGTTTTTCGCATCAAGTTGTCCCGGGAGGTCCAAACCCCCTTCACAACTGATTGGATTTGTTGAATCTATTCTGTTTCCAGTACAATTTTTCGGGTTTTTTTTTGCTCGACATGTATACTACTATGTTCACAAGTTGTATATAAGATATGTTGTGCAATTCAAATGTTTTTTTTTTTTGGTGGTGTTTCATATGAGAAGAATGTAAGTATCAAAGCACTGCAATGGAACCAAAGAATGGTGTGTTTATGCCTAAAAAGTCCAACATACTTTAGACAAACCAAGATGGGCTTACTCAATATTGAAGATTAAAAATGATCATTAAAATAGTGAAGTAAATAGGGATTAGGGAATAAGTCAAAGGCTTAAGCACAAAACAAATTAAAAATTTAATTTGTTCTTATATTCATCTCTGCATCATTATCAAGTTTATATAATGAGCAGCCTGCAAGATGACATCAGAATTATTAAATAAACTCCTGAACTGGGGTGATGTATCTTAGACCCCTACCTGTATTATTCTCTAGCAGTTGTCACAATAATTTGGAACCATTGCACATTGCCATTTCAAAAGAAAACAATAGGATTGCTACTAGTAAATTTTACTTTGAAACAGGATTCTAGCAATTCTTTTATATTTTATTGTCTCGCTGACTCACGCCGTGTATATATTGTTCGCTTTGCATATTATTCTTTTCAGTGTTGACGATTTTGTTCAAAACACGTTTACACAATTGGGAGGCGTTCACAAATATAAGTCTTAACAACTTTTCCGACGATGCGGGATGTCACATTTATATTTGCTTAGGACCTATTTGGTAACGCGTTTTGTTTTTCGTGTTTTTGTTTTTGTCCGGTATTGTAGCAGTGAACAGTAGAAACTGTTTTGTTTTTCACAATACTAAAATGTTTGGTAAAGAGTGCCCAAAAATCGAAACATCAATTTGGCCTTTTTGTATGTTTCTGCATTGTAGCGTTTGGTACTATTGAGATGAATAGTTTTGTTTTTTTTTTTTTTTGAAAAACTTTTAAATAACATTTTTAAACTAACCATTATATTTTTCAAACTTGCAACACTTATACCAAATATGTTTTTATATTTTTGCTTCCAAAAATCTTGCAACAAATAGACGTTATGAAACATGCTTCCGATTATTATTCAAAATACTTATTTGGTTTTGATTTAAAACAAAACGTCAAAAACAAAAAGCGTACCAAATAGATCCTTAATATATGCATTTTTAAAGGTCTAGGTCGAGTCCATTGAGTGATGCGTGTAAAATAGTGGCAAATATTTTACGACAACCAAATACCATAAAACACATAAAAATATTTTTCAGAAAATATTTTACACTCAAACAAACGGAGCCTAGTGTTCACAATTTTACTCAAAATGCGTCTACACAGTTAAAAAGCGTCTACCTATATAAGTCTCAACAACTTCTCCGGTAACGATGTGGAATGTCACATTTAAATTGGCTTAATATATGTATTTCAAGAGAAGGATGAACATTGAACTCACTTATAAACAGATGGAACTAGTAAGGCAACTTAGAGAAGACTGTCTAGTATTGGAGATCAAAATAACATCACAGATGGGCTTCAAGTTTTTTGCTTTTCTTTCTTCATTTCCTGAGCAACCAAATAGGGTGATACCAAATTTCTTTGATATAGGTCAAACACAAACTATTTATGATAATTGCAAATGATGATTCCTGAGTCTTGGATGCTGATTCTTGAAATTATTGTTTGTATTATTTTGCCAAGTTTTTCTTACATCTAGTCATCATGGTTGACTAATTGCCAAATCTCTATTTCTTTGTTGACTTGGAGAAGAGTTTCTACTAAAGCCATTTGGTTGATGTGGAACATATGACCGTTAGTGTTTAGACCGTGAGTTGGAATTCAATTAAAATAATAAATATTATCAAATTAATGGGTACAAAATATGTACTCCTATCTGACATGATTGAAAAAAAAGAAAAACTCAAACTTAATAATAGAAATAAGTTTTCTATCCATAAATATAATTTTTTTTTTATTTTACTATATCCCATTTAATTTAAATAATAATTGAGTATATTCTTATAAAAAATATTATTAAACATCATATTATAATAAAATTATACTGTATTTACATTCGTAGTACATGTTAATGTTCAATTTTTTGACATGTATTCTCTTATCTTAAGACTAAGGCTTCCGAAGTGCAGGATTCAATAGTGAATATATATGAATTTTTTATTTTTATTTTTATTTTTATTTAGAAGCAACCATACAAACAAAACTACAAAACAAAAAAGGCATCTGCAAACAGAGCCTTTGAGACAGAAATGGGGATTGAATCCCAACACACCAACTTATCCCATGAGAATAGGGCCATTTTGCACGCTGCATGTGTTGACCCATTACTCGACCTTGG